CTGTTCACCTAATTTCCCGCATTTTCCTTGCTCCCGAGCAAGGCAGACAGTTTGTACTGTATATGTAATAACTGATCTGTCTGTGGATTGTCTTTCAGTCAAATACAGCACTGACATAGCCAGCCAGCTTGAGGAGATTGCGGCTGTGAAGAGAGAGGAGCAAATGACCCTGCCGGATGATCTGGACTATTTCAGGTAATTAGAGTATAGTATACAGGTGAAGAAATGTAAATGGCTTTAACGTGGAAACCACAAGGAAAACGTAAGAGAAGACCAAAGATGACATGGAGGCGAGCGGTACAAGCGGAAATTGAAAAAGCGGGGACATCATGGAAACAGCTAGAAAAGGATGCTCAGGACAGGATTCGCTGGAGAAATGTTGTTGATGGCCTGTGCTCCACTGGGAGTTAAAAAGGGCAAGAGAGAGATACAGAGAGCATGAGGCAGAGGCAGGCCTCGGGAAACATGGAGGGGATGTGTGGAAAGGGACATGAGAGTGATGAAACTCACTTGGACTGAGCTTGGAAGGATGGCCCAGAACAGAGATAAATGGAAGGAGTTTGAATGTGGCCTATACCAGGGGTGAATGGCATTGATGATGATGATAGTATGATATAATTTGTGTGTGTGTGTGTGAAAGTGTGTAAAAAGGTGCTTAAAAAACCTGCAATACCATTCTTGTTTTGAGCATTTCTTTTTTGGGCCAATAAAGTATACAGACATAGTAGCTAGCTGTTTAGTGAGTGTAGTACGGGGTGCCCACTACGGATAGGATCGCCCGACTCGATCGCCTCAAAAACAAACGTGTTTGTTTTCAGTTTCAGGCGATCGAGTCGAGCGATCTGCCCGATCCAGCCGTAGTGGGCACCCCGTATAGGACTCTGCCATTCGCCATTTTGGAAAATGACAGATTCTTACACTGAGCAGCCGATATGTATGTCTCTGTCTCTCTCTTTCTCTTCCTCTCCTTACTACATATTTCTTTCCCTCTCTATCCCTCCCTCCCTCCATCTCTCTCCCTCTCTCTTCCACTCTCTCTCTCTCTTTCTCTCTCTCTCTCTCTCTCTTCCTCCCCAAGTGCTTACTTATGACAGTTACCGTGCATGGCTCCTTCTGTCCATCCACAGCTTGAACATCTCTAATGACGCTAAATCGAAACTGGCAGAAGCGAGACCAGCATCAGTAAGTACACATGTACTGGGCACGTAATTTCAACTGATCGGCGTAAGACTCCGCCATAAGCCATTTCGAAAAGTGACAAGTCTTACACTGCGCAGTGGATTTGTTCTACATGCATTGTATTATATAATGTACTCCCCACACAGTCTCTTTTCAGACAGTCTTCTTCAAATTTGTTCCCATTATGATAATAATGGTAATATTTATATTTTCTTTATTATTACTACTATTATTATTATTATTATTATTATTATTATTACAATTATTGTTATTATTGTTATGATGATGATGATGATTATTATTATTATTATTATTATTTTTATAGTAACAATAAAGATAATATATATATTATTCCTCATTCTTCTTACGAATATTCTTTGTTCAGATGAGAAATTACTTTTTAATCTTATCCGTACGTCGTGTTTTACTATCGTATCCATACGAAGTGGGGTACTCTGTGCCACCACTTTCCAAAGAGGAAATTTAATCCGATTCGTTTGCTTTGCATAGCAGGCTGTCAAAATGATTTTTGGAGAAATACTGAAAGTTTCAAAAAGACCTTCGTACTAGAAGTATTCTAAAATGTGAAGAGTACAATCCCTGGGGTACAAAAAGACCCCAGGCATGCGGATACGGTTAAGAAAGATGATACCATTTCATCAATCTTTCTATTTCTAGAGTGTGTCCCTTTCTTCCGGGGTTTTTTTTTCCTCTTTATCTAATTGGTTCACTTATCAAACTCTCCTCTCCTGAGCTTGGTTTTGTGAACTTTTGAAAATAAATGGGGTTTTTTAAACCTGCTTTTTTCCACTTACTGGAATACGTATAGTATTATATCCTGTCATGTATTCTTTGTGCAACAAGCTCAACATTCATAAAGGAGTACACTGATTGACTTCATTTTGTCTTTTCTTCTGTTGAGTTTTTACATATATTCAATTATTATTTTTAAGGAAGCATTTATCATTTTGACGTACCTATGACTTCTTTTTTAAAAACATGTACCGCTGTCTTTTTATAGTTCATAAATCGCTTTTTTTTTTTTTTTATAAATCTGAAAAATCTTCTACTGTACTTTTCATAAGTTCAATGCTCCCAGATGTAATGTAAACATTAACATTAGGTGGTTGGCAGGTGCTCTGGTGTGGTTTGCTCCTTTCCCATCAAGCACTATCGTCCTTATCACTCTTAATTCTTTTCTTTATATGTAACTCTTTTGAAACACCTCAAATCTTCAGCACTGATATGACCTATTTGTGTTGGAAGTGCCCTAAAACTCTTATTAAACTATACTAAATGTTTGCATTTTCTCTACACAAACAGATAGCAGCAGCGAGTCGCATCCCGGGAATCACGCCTGCCGCTGTGGCTCACCTCCTTTATCATGTCAAGGCCACTCAGCGTCAAGGGAAGCAACCCTCTGCCTCTTTCACCACATCAGTTGCTAAAGACACAGACAAGTCTTGAGTTGAGCTCCAAAAACAGTGATTACCTCTTGCAAATGTTGTTCAATTTTGTTGAGGTCTACAGTATTTGCTCGCCATTCGCAGACTTAGTACATTACATTTTTTCCTGATGAAAACCAGAAAATTAGGAAAGCTCTATAGACTCACTATTGGGTGCATCTGCAATAATCAATTTTGGTAAAGTCATTAACAAATGCAAATTTTTATTTTTTGTTTAATACCATTGGTCACTCATGTGTAGAAAGCATTTATATGAGCATGGGAGAGGTTTGTCAGAATCTGGGAAGGGAATGTAAAGGCGTGAAATACATAATAAGAATACTGTTTAGATTTTCCCCTATCATTACTATCATGGTAAGTAATCTCTGCCATATTTAGGAAATACTGTAAGTCTAAAACTATTGCACTAACTGATATTATTTTAGATACAGATCTTTAGCTGACACCACAAGACGGTACACCCCTGTGGAGTGAGTATAGATCAGTTATTAAGGTATTGGTGTATATGTGTTCACAAACAAACTATTTTCTGCTCATGACACGAGAAATACTCTGTGAACATATTTATTTCTGTATGCTGAACTGTTATGTGTGTGAATGTTTTTGCAGTGTTGTAGTTGTAGCAATCATGATTGTTTCTTGATTCAGAGAATGGCTTGACGTTGTCGCCTGTAAATGTTATCGATATTCGTGGCCTCATGCACAAACCATCTGTGCCTGGAGTCATATTTCTCACAGGAGAAGGGGGGGGGGAAGACCCTGATTTTCTGCAAACTGGCAGCTGGACATGACGAACTGATCTAGGTTTTTTAAAGTAGTTAGAGAATCACTTAAACTCTACCATTGGGTGTACTGGGTATTGATAAATCAAGAGTAACAACAGAAAGTGAGGGATAGAAGCCTATGTTGTGTATGCTTACTTTACTGCCAACCAGTACAGTACACAAAAAACATATTTAATACGTTTTTGAGGGTCTGAGTTTGGAAATTCGTTTCGGTACCAGTACCAGCATTAAAGAAAATAATATGTGAGACATCATGGAGAAATCAGGCGCTCGTCAAAATAACGAAATCGAAGAAACTGGCATTTTTCCTCCAGTTTGACCATTTTTTTTCCAAATTTTTGTTTTTATCCTCAGAACTTGTTAGGTCCATCTGAAAACACATTCCTATATAAATTTTACAGAAAAGCGTTGATTAATGGCACAAAATATGTAAATTTTCAGTTTTCAAGGACTCTCAAGATATAGAAGTTACAAAACTTTAGAGGCCATTTTCTGGAAGATTTTACCTCTGAAACTATGCTACCTCCACCTTCTTAATCGCGAATATTTCGACTTCTAATTCTAATCAAGATAGGTGGGTGACTTTTTTTAAAGAAAGCAAGGCAACTGAATAAGCTTTCAGATATCAATACCTCCACATGCAGAAAAATTGACGAGTGCCTGATTCCCCCGCATCGTGACACATATATGATATGTATTCTTTTCCCTAACATTGCTCCTCATGGACTTGCTGATGCTGTTGAAAAATCATGAACTTTCAGAACTGGATTTGTGAATAAAAATGAGATTGAAGCCAATAGGTCAATTGTAGTTGTGTCCATTACCAATATAATAATCAGTTAATAACTGAGTTATCTATTGCACATGGATTTTTAAGGAATGCAGCAGTGTAAAGGGTTTAGATGGGGACTGTATAACCAATACCCGCCATCTTGACAATGTGGTGTGCGTAGTCTATTACTGTTATGGTTTTGAAAATTTGGCAGCTGTGTGTATGTGTACAGATGTAAATACCACCTACTGTACCCTCCACCCGGTCACTGAACTGAGTAATCTCTACTAGCATCTGTGGTGTAGTGGGTAGACACCTCGCCATCAGTCACACACAGAAGAAATAAAATGATGAAATGACATAGGTTTAACGTCCCTATCAACACAGTTAGGTTAACTTATATAAGAGGCGGGACCGCCAAGTTTCACGTCCAGCTCTGAAAGGACCAAGCCAAATTGGGAATTCGTGTAAAGTGTCTCTCCCAAGGACAAAACATCTGACTTAGCTGAGGCTCGAACCCCGTACTCACAATCTCACGATTACGAGTCCGGTAGCCTATCAACAACTAGAAGGTTACTGGCCCCATACACACAGAAGACCTGAATCCGATTTCTGTGTGGGGTGAATTTTTATCTCATGAGACATCATCTCCCTCTCAGCACAGGTTGACCCAGACAGGCAGACAAAGCAGACAAAGCCCACTTCCTACAAGATCTCTAACCTATGTTGAAGAGGGCTGAAAACCGCTACGTTTTTTTTTTTTAATTTAATTTGTCCGATCTCTAAGTGTGAAGAGAATATTGCAATTTCAATTATTCTGTCTCAGGACTAGATGTAGCTGCTATACAAAATTGTCCATAAAATCTCATACTCTGCTTGAAATCATGATTAAATACAAGATAAACTAATTTTGGTAGTATTCTCTTTTTCTTTTTGCATGTGTGCGAATGTGAGCAACATAATGGGTACTACTAGAGACTGCCAGTGGTGTCAATTAGGGGCAGCTGAGCAGCTCAAATATAATCTTACAGTTTTTGGGGGACACCCCCCCCCC